AGATGCTTTAGATTTAGATATATAAGCTATCATATGCAACAAATGGATCTTTTTTACGTCTTGTTTAATCTACGAGTTATGTAACATTCAAACCTTTGATATCAATTCATAGTGGTTAAATAGTCGTGTCTAACTCCTTCTATAGTCCGGTGAGATCCTTTCATTTTAAGCTATAGCCAACAATATTCCGTAATTTATAGCTCTTAATATAATTAGTCTTTTTTATAAACACTAGATTCATAAGATCTCATTTAATCCACTCTCAGTCATTGTATTAAGGCGATTGGACGTCAGACTATGTCAATCGTTTCTCAATGCCAGCGCTTGAGGTAGTCGAGTGCTTATAGCTATAAGTATTTCAAAGGACTATACGTGATATTGGATATTCGTGAACTTAATGGGAATATGTTACTTGAAACATGGTTATAATATCTTCTTTGATTAATCAGTTTGGTTCTTAGTCACAATACACCTCTGCAAGACCAATCGCATCTCTCTAGGGAGTTCGCATTCCGATACTTTCTATGTATCCCTGAGGTACCATGTTTCAACACTACTTATCTATTAGTAATTTTATTAGTCCATAGAAGTTCATTTACAATTTGCATATATGTGACGATACTAGAGACACATTACATACATCGAAGTATGTTTTTTCCCTGTAATATTCATATCTTTTGAAAGCCTATTATCAGTAAGATTTGTCTTGTTCTATATAGTTTATTACTTTCATCTTATGTTATGGTGTAATAACATACTAACATTGACTTTTTTTTGTTTTTTCGAGCTGTATCTAGATAATATTAATAACTGTCTTTCACCTGCCTGGCATGCTTAAGTCTATTAGTTCGTCTAAGTGTGTACTACCTCTCTAGGTTGTCAACCTAACGACTATGAATATATAACGAGTTTCTGATATCCCATTCAATTATATGTAATTATAACATCTCTTTTTGTAGCATCTCCGTGTCCAAACACATATATAATATGATATAAAATCTCGCCTTGAGCTTTTACTACAAGTCATCTGCAGTGCGATAACGCCCGAATTGACAATATCGCGGACGAGCTCTGTTGAGTTAAGCAACTGTATACATCAATCCCAGTTGATTTTCCTAAACACTGTTTTCAGTCTTTAAGCAAAACATTTGCTTCGCCGCTAGCACGTGCACCGTCTACACAGCATAAATGTGTGTGAAGATCTAATCTTATATCCAAGAAACTATTCAACGCGTACATTTAGTGGGTAGTCTTGTAGTCCTTTGTTACAAACACATTCTATCTTGTTCATCGTCATATCTCAGTCCGTTGGTAGGTGGACTTCAATATTTGTCTGACCAGTCATATAATTATCACTTCGCACAAGTCGCTTTAGCAGAATAACTAGTTGAAGCGTGTTAATATAAATGCAACGTGTCTTAGAGCATAGCTTAGCTATCATGTCTCTGATAGCCATAACTCTCACTTGATCTGTGGTTACACATATGTTCACCAGATATCCCCTTGTGTTCGTATTCTGTTTAATGAGACTCATTATTCGCATACAATCACATCATATTTTCATTGCGAAAAGCCAGTCTATATATATATTGTACTCCACTATTCACTTACAGATCCTGTTCACTTCCATATACAGTCTTAGTTCAATCTCCTCAAACCAATATTTCTCTGTTTTTAGATATACTTTCACAATCCATAAATCTGAGTTCTACTATGTACTGTATAGCTTCTTAATATATGAGTGTGTAGAGATCAATTAACACTTGTAAGAAATCATAAATTAAATCGATATATTGAATATTAGGTATTCTCTCTTCTATATCTCAATATAAAAGAAATCATTGATATCTATTGATAATATATATGAAAATCAATGATGCTACCACACACCGAATATGACACAAACTCATAACTAACATACTTCGTCGGTTATCTTGACCATTGATAACAAGAAAACTCTCACATGCCCAATTCATTATGTGTTTCATAAGTGGTGGATATGGACAGCTCTTAATTGTGTCTCGTATAAGATACAAACAAGGCTAATAATATGTGAAGTGTTGTCTCCCGTCATAATTTCATTGTAATTTCTCTTTTGAACTACTTTTGGATACATCTGCACTGTTATACCAGTGCATATAAGACAAATGAACTATCTTTTGGGAGTGCCAATGTTCAAGTGGGTTTACTGGTACTTTATAGTAGAACTCTCTCATATCAACTGTTTCTTATGACTATGATAGATGTCACTCTGAGCTCTCCAATGCAAGTACTGGTATGACAAGGGAATGTCTATCTTGTTTTTGATATAAATTTAACATAATAGTAGATAGCCTTATTACTTGCAGGTGTGTAGATGATTTACACATGCTCGAGAACGATTATTGAGTGCGAAACAGTTTATAACCTTTATGAAGTCTTATAACTCGAATGTAAAGGAAATGTTTGCCAGAATCTGCCATCAGGGCAACATCTTGAGCATCGATGGTATTGGAATGATTGGAGATGCCATTGCATCAGCGCACGAATTTACCGGAAGTAACATGTTTAATCCAAAACCCCTCACAAAAATGTTTGAGTTCAGTGATATCATAGATGTAGACTTGGTGTACATTGAATTTTCCGAATGACAATATTCAAATAGTGTTGAGCTATTCTAGTCACCGATTTCAGCCAGTGTAGGAGGCGTGAGGGATGTTAGAACTTTTATTATTATTTCAAATGTGTTGTGAATAAAATGCGGTCCAGAGTAAATGTATCAAACTCTCTTGACGGAATACATTACTCTACTCGAGACATATGATGGTGTCAGTAGTTTCCTATGTAGAGCTGTTTACATAAGAAGAGTGCCCTCTATATCGCATCTTTCTCGGAAAGATCTAGACTGTGATTATTTTTTTGTATACTCTTCGATCCCTATTGATTACTGAACCACACTTGGAAAATTTAAGTTAGTGTCACCTTATAGCTCAGATGATACTACGAATTTATGGCGTCGCTCGTGTTGATCCACATTCTTTTACCAGCTTTGTCAACTTTAATTCGCAACTAGTGACCAGGCAAAAACGATAGAGATTATCTCCTGTGGTGTAGAGTTGATCGTGTAAACATTCTAGGAATTTGAGTTATTCACTACATAATTGTGAGTGTGATTCATACCTCTATGTCGAAAGAACAACTCGCAAGCATGACACTCCATGTATACATTTAGCTTCTAGTTATATATCGAGTAACTAAAGCTTGATTGATTCGTCAAAGAATGCTAAGGCAATACCGACTCGACAAGTCCACTGAGACCAGGTGAACTAAGTGTCATGCCTAGACATTTAATAAAAGCATATCATTGGCACTGGCCTTGGGATGTATGCAAACATGTTCACTTGTATCGGAGTTATGTTACACATAGCTTATCTTGATTCATGTTATAATACTATGTGTGACAATGATTATTACTATGATATTATACGAGTGGATAACAGAAAACATGCTTTTGTATAATAGTCAAAGGAGACTATCGAGAGAACACACTCGGAGATACTCTGAATAACACATCACAACAAGGTGTAACTACCCTCTGATACATTCCCTTAATTGACATGGAACTCGTCAAAATAATACAACTGTATATTACAGCGACAGAGGAGTGTTGACGGCAACTCAATCTATGATTTAGACAAGCATGCAATTTCATAAAAGGCTTTTCAGGCTTTTTTGACTATCTCATGTTATGATTATAATAATTTTTGCCATTCTTTAAGCTATTGTTGCCAAGGAACCTTGATATTTTGTGACTCGATAGTCAAAGAGTGGCAAGAACAGATAAAACATGCATAATCTCAACACTGGCGTAAAACCTGCCTACCAATTAGTGATCGTCGAGAGATAGCGCTGAGGAGATAGTGTTTCTCTCTCAAATTACACTATGTATTGCATCATGTGCATGTATCTCTCAATGGATATATGCGATGACTCACAATATCTGATATCACCACGATTTTTCAGTCTATGTGGTGCCATAGCAACCAAATTTTTCAACATTGGAGACAAGTCAATATAGTATAGAAACAAGACGGGAGTACCTCGCGTAATGGATACATATCGGTCCTGAACTGCAGTAATTAACTTTTGTAATTATAATAAATATTCTCGGCAATGGAGCCGGTCTCTGACTAATAATCGTGGGTAGTACAAAAAATTATTGAAGTGTGTAAAAAACGGATGCTCGCACTATTTTGTTGTTGCCATATATAGTCACATTAGCTACATGCTATTTAATACCAATGGTCTCACATCGAATATAATGCGAGTCTAATATACGAGCGTGCATAAATTTATCTCTCCGACATATGAGCTATCCATTATTAATAAGATCATTATGTCAGTTTCATAAAAATATTCTTAATACTATGTGTGAGTTGTTGAATACTAGCTGGCACGCCAATGGTGAGTGTCTGAGTAATAGTGTGTAAATGCGATAGTTTTTTCCCTGGATTCTTTGTTGCTCAATAGTGAGATAGGCTAGCGAATTTTCGAGATACGGGCAATAGATGCAACAGATATAAATAGTGACAGTGCATAAATTATTCTTATCATACAGTGCTAAGGACGTGCATTGACGAATTGTATAAGAGATTATCTCACACTAAAATTTCTACTTTTTTAAAGTTTATCGCGGGGATCCTTTTTGTGGTACGTATCGAGCGAACTGAATGCGGTATTGGCTTAAACACATCTGGTTCGTGACTTTGATCACTTGTAACAAGGTTCGAGCAGCGGAGAGAGAGTGGTGTGAGAAACGTAAAATCCCTCCGGTTAAACCCTAAGGGACTAATAAGAGGTACGGATCATATCCCGTGCTGTGAACGAATGCGGAGATAATACGTAGTCAAATCTCTTTCAATGAGAAGAATGCCTGTTATTAATTCTAATAGTCTAGATATATGTGGACTTCATACTACATGTATTAGTTGTCAAACAGAGACACGTGCTTTTTAGTCAAAATGGATTTGAAGGCCTCACTTGTGAGAACGACATAGACGCTTGCAAAAGCAGCCCCTGTAAAAATAGTGCAACCTGCATTGCTGAAAATGGTTCCTTTGTTTGCGTATGTATGGAAAGTTACAAAGGAAAAACATGTAACGAAGAAATAGACGAATGTGGGAATGCTAGTTGTAGAAATAACGGACGCTGTGAGTTGCTCAATAATACCTCTTATTGCGTCTGTCTTGATGGGTTTACAGGAAACTTCTGTGAAACAGTTAGTGATGGAACGCCCACAAAAATGGGTGTGTATTGTGTAGAAAAAGCATGTTTTTTTTATTATTTTTACTTTTCATATATATAGATGTATACACATATAACAGTAATCAAATATTAAGCATGTTTTAATTTGTAGACACATGTAGGTTTTCATAAAGTAGGCTATGTATATGCCTTTTGTAGGTTTGTATCACCATACCAATTCGGAGTTCCTCTGTCAATGCAGCAGCTGCAACAGAATTTTGTAGTTAAAAAATGTTTGTAATTTTAAAGTGTGCCAGTCTGAATATTCTCACACTTGTAGATGATCAGTAGTGAATAATTCAAAATGCGAAGTGATTCGGGCCGAACTATGCACTATACTATACCAATCTATCGGGTGCCGGTTAATATTCCTCTAGTTTTATTTGGTAATACTCTAGTTTCTCGGATGAATGTTTGACCTTTCTGAAATTCTTATTTGACATAAGTTTCATATAAACAGATAAAATATTTTCCCAATGCAGACAATGTTACAGTAGAACGTTTAATTAAATCTACCATAAGTTTAAAGTATTTCTTGTTTTAGACAAGGAAAGCACCGATAAAAGTGAAGGTGACAATACAAACAACCTGGTAGTTGGACACGATGATAATACTGGAGAAAATGCAGATGTGGCGATCGGGAAATCTGATTCGCAGAACCTCAGACAACATGCAACTGAAAAGGCATAAATACTACGTTTATATTAAATACATTTTATTGTACAATTTAACAAAAAAACTTTTTTGTGAGCTTATTCCTTTACCTTCCAAATATCTTAAATTTATTTGTCCATTCTTTAACCTTGTCAAAACCATTTTACATAGGTAAATTAAATTAATAATGATTAATTAATTAATAATCAACATTACAGATCTTGATCAGACTAAAGATATGCCGGCTTATTTTGGTCTGCACTTGTAACTAATACATGAATTATTTTAGTTTGCCGCCTGTTGTCTAACGGATAAAGTTCAACTAATATTCGGGTATAGAACATAAAAAGTATTTTTCAATTCTTAATGGTTTTATCATTTATAAATAGTTGAAGTATACGTATGGGCTGCTTCATATGCAAAAGGAAAGCAAATGTAGCTGTTGGTTGAACTCGCCACTGCATGTTGCTCTATATTGTTTTCTTTCTTTTTAGGACAGTTGGGCGGAGACTCACTGGTATGCAATTGTGATTATAGCAGCTGTAGCATTTGTATTCTTCGTATTACCGGCTGCAATATGGTACAAGAAATCCAGGTAAATTATTAATTTCAGCGTCTTATATGAGGTATATGAAGCATTAGTTGTACTACACAAGAGAACGGTGAAACATTGAAGCAAATATTACGCTGTACATAATAATTTAGTTGAATTATAGCTGAAAACATATTATCCAAAACGGTTGATTAAACGGAATGGCTTTTGTTGCTGAAAGCAATTGGTATGTAACCTAGCACTGACCAAGTTTACTATGTTGTATGAAATGAATTCTAATTTAATGAAGGATACAGCAGTAAATGCCTTACGTCCAGACACTAATTCTGTAATAAAATTTGAATGTTTACTGACATTATTTGCATATTTGTTTTTATTTTGCCATACAAACTGATGTTATTGAGGAAGGCTCACTGAGTATTAAAATTCACAAAGTTTATTGTCATTTACAATACTGGTGTCCCTTTAAGTGCTTGATGTTATCACCCATATTAAACCTAAAACGGAAATCATCTGTTTTTCTCTCTTCTATGTTACAGTGCCAACAAGAAGAAGACTATTGATATGGTACAGTACTGGCCTACACAAGAGGATATGGCTATTCATGGTTTTGACAATGCTACATATGGTCTAGATTCACTACCTCTATATGCTCAAACAACAGAGTATCAGCCTCAGCAACAGTTTACAATGCAACAACAGTTAACACCACAGCAACAGTTTACACCGTCAGATATAAATCAGTCCAGTTAGCAACACAGAAAGAGAAAATTTCAATTAACATATAAATCCATTAAGAAATTAATTAAAAAATAAATGCATTATGCAGTTAAATTAACAAATAAATCAATTAAGCAAATTTGAATCTACATGTATTAATAAATATAAGGCCAAATTTTTCAATAAGGAATGAAAGGTAGAAAATATCAAGCTTATCAGCAGTGCATATATGTTTCAATAACTGGTACAGATGTAAATGTATATATATGTAAATATCACTTATAATTTTTCTATGAAGAAACTGACCATTGTGTTTAAAAGGTTACTGACCAACGTGCCCTTTGTAACAATAATGGAGTTTGTTGTACATGTAAACAACTTTATCGAATAACCTCACTTGTAAAAAGATACACAAGCCTTATTTTTGTTTCTTTTTGTCTTTTGATACTATGATCAATTATGATCTAATTATTACACTTGTATTATCCATTGATGTAACATTAAATGATTTCGGAAAAAATAACCTTGCAATTGAAAGTTTAAATCAAATATATCAAAAATGTACTATTTACGCAAAACGCTTATAGATGAGTAAATAAAGAACTTATACTTCTAATATATATTATAATTCCCTGCTTTAATGGAAACATACTCGTGTAGTACTATAGATAAAATATTTCTTACATACAGATTTTTGTGAAGCACAGTTTGTCTTAAACTCTAAAATACTCATTAATGACACTGCCTTCCGACAAGATTTGTTTTATGTAAATACGTTAAGTTTGGATATATTTATCTTGTATACTACATGGTATATATGATATATATCTACCTTACATACTTCATGATATATATAATATATATCTATCATAAATACTTCATGATATATATGATATATATCTATCTTAAGTATCACATGAAATATATGATATATATCTATCTTAAATACTTCATGATATATTTGATATATATCTATCTTAAGTACTACATGATATATATGATATATATCTATCTTAAATACCACATGAAATATATGATATATATTTATCTTAAATACTTCATGATATTTATGATATATATCTTTCTTAAATGCCACATGATATATATGATATATATCTATCTTAAGTACTACATGATATATATGATATATCTCTATCTTAAATACTACATGATATATATGATATGTATCAACCTTAAATACTTCATGATATATATGATATATATTTATTTTAAATACTTCATGATATATATCTGTTTTAAATACTTCGTGATAAATACGATATAGATCTTCAACTCACAGTCATCACATTTTATGTATGTATGTTTCTTCGTCTCAAAAAATCATTAATTTGTAAATATTTCTAATATTTCTCATTATATTGTACATCACTTGGGAAGATGGAATCATCCGTTCTCACAATTATAAAACAGATATGCCCTTTCTGATATTTTATATTCTTATATTTTCGCAGATATTTAAACACTCCCGACAATAAATAAAGAGCTTAACTTGATAAAAGTCCTTGTTGGTCAGATGTTTTAAATCGTCTTTTTAAAATTGTTAGTGCCTTATATGCCTACTAGCTGGGTTACTAGCTTACGTTTGTTATGGTGATGTGTATTTGTAGTGGTGTTGATGTGTGTAGCAGTGAGTTGACGGATGAAGTAGATGGATGTATTGGAGGGGCTGGAGCTTGTATATTGACAGATATGTGTTGGGAGTGAAGTGAGGTACAGTGTGTGAACTGTGTAACTATAGCGATACTTCATTAGCAAGCTTTGTTTGTGCTGTGTATCAGACTATCTAAATTCTGTCTGAAGTGTATCAGGAGCTAAGAGTTGATGGGTGATAATGTATTTTCAAGTTTATCTATGAATTAGGCGTAATCATAAGAAATGTTTAAATGTGATTCGATTTATTGCTGGGCATGACTAAAGTGGATTAAGATGGATAGAGACTAAGAAATGCAAGATAAGGAAAAGAAGAACAGCATTAGCAGTTGCGTATCTGGCTACTCTTATCCGACGAGTAGACCATTTGAATTGTCTTCATCGTCTGCCCACTGCATGCTTTTTGTCCAGCCAATTACGTTGTCATTTATGGATGGAATTAAAAACAATTTTGCATAAATGAGTGGCACATTAAGACGATGTGTCGAAAGCAAGACCCAGATATATAGCTCAAAGGTTAAGGTCACATTTAGACTTAAATGACATTTTTCATAGAAGTGCATCGGTGTTCGTGTCCAGTCAACTATTCGGTCATTTCTCGTAGATTTTAAAACAACTCGTCATAAATATGTTTGATATGATAACGAGCAAGTCTACAGCTCAAAGGTCAAGGTCATAATGGTATGTCAAAGACATGATATTAATGCCAATAGATGGTGGTGTTCTGTTCCTAACTTTGTTATTCAAGGATGGATTTTCAAATAATTATGCATACATGTGTTGCACATTGAGACGGTGTTTCTCATGTAAGATCAAGGTTTTTAACACTTCTAATAAATAATAAAATACATTGATAAATGTCCTCGTCAACGTTTTGGTCATTCGTGATAATCTAGCATAAATAATTGCAAATTAACAGGTCCTATCACGTGCAAGAGTTAGACCAAAATCTCAAAGGGCAAATGAATTCCATATTTGGATATCAAAATTGTTTAAATAAGATGGTTCTGTCCGATTTGTTACTTTCCCATGGATGTTTTTTTTTTGAAAATGTTTAAAACAACGTGGCACACACGCAAAGTCAATGATTCACCTAGGCATAAATACGTGATACTTTAAAAGGAAGTGGGCTGCGTGAGAACAAGTTTTCAACATATTAAGGCAAAGGTCGCACAGAGGGCATTGATGGTTGTGCCCGTTTATCATTCCGTCATTCATGGATGGATTTTGAAATAACTAGGCATAACTAAGACATTTTATATGTCCGCCATAACATTATAAGGCCACATTTGATTATTTTGGGAGGATTTCGAATAACTTGTCACGAAATAAGGTAAAATACGGTTTCGGATAAATTCTACTAATTCAAATGGAAATTTTTGATGGCAACTTAAATAAAGTTTTCTTCAAGTAAATATGAAAACAAAGGTCTCGTTCGAGAAAGGTTACATCTACTTTGCAGGGACCATTTACCATAATAGGCAAATTGATAAATGTATCGCTGAAGGCGATGGAAGCTTCCGATCAGGCACGTATGTTTATGTCAAGACTCCGCCAAAATTTACAGGACCGCCAAAAAGTATGTACATACCAAAGTCACTAAAAGCATTATGAGGAAACGTGTAAAATCTATTTATACCATTTATACCACCTTAATCGCAGTGACCCTAAACTCAACTGAAAGAAAGAAGACCATCCGGTAAATCTACCTAAAACATGAAAGATATTTGAAAAAAATGAAGTTGCTAGAATTGTAGAGCAGTGTAACGGAAAACGGGATAAGGGGACAACGGAAGCACACTCGTGATAATACTGTTAAAGCTCACTCGCTGAAATAATATTTCATCTTACACACAAACAAACAAATATCCTCTATATAATTTTCCTTGCAATTCTCTTTCTAATGGTACCTAAAGTACAATTGAGCGAGTGTTTTGGCAGGGGTCAAGGTAACCCGGCATTTGCATTTGAGACGCAGAAAGTCTATACACTTGTTTGTCCTTATATGTCTGTAAGTCTATTAATAAACATTTTATTTTGATGTTTATATGGCATGCACAATGACAGAGTGACTGTGACGGACTTGGTGTAGTTTACGATAACTTTTTTACTCAATAAGACAGCCATGCAGATCTTTTATAATAAAATGTAATGTGACACGAAGGTTTGTTTCGGAGGCAAGTAGATTTAAAGGCCTATTTGTTTGTTTATATGATTCAAAAGATTGTTTTATATACATACACCATATGCACGCACTTTTTAAAATCTGCACAGCGCTCATTGGAAAAGCACACGTCATATCATTAAGAAATAGTGGCGAGAACTTTGACGTCGCGTTTCTCTGATTATGTCATTTGACCACTATTTTGGAAATGTCATGTCACGGCTCACACATATTGTTTAAGCTTGGTATGATATAATAATATGATAACAGAAACTTTTCAAGCGAACACAACTAAGAGGTCACCGATCAAAGTATACTGCATGTGAATTTGATAGTTTTACTTATTTGGGGTTATTTCAGAGGCAGATAACATAAACATACGTCTGAAAATTATTTTTTTTACTTTTGTTATGTTTTTTTTCGGTTTATTTATTCGCACATTTTCTTAAAAAACATGAAATTCCATAAACTATTTCTAATAACTTTTTTTTAAAATTTTATTAGAGATACTTTAAATTTTATAAAAAAGTAAAAGAAAACTTTTCCTCAAATACACTTCTTCCGTAAAGATAAAATTAATATAAATTGGTGTTCTCAGTATTACACAGTTACACTCGAAATTAGATTGTTCTTTGCATTCAAGAAGCATATTCTGTTAATCTTTACGAGTATGTTTGTATGACAACAGAAATTGCAAAACCTGGAAATTTAGCTCATTTTAAGTCTCAGGATAAACGTGGACTATTCTATAATAATACCAGTCAAAGGAATTTTTAATGGAAGAGAAATGGAAGCAGAACACGGACATCTATTTGAATTTGAACACGAAATAAACACGTTTCTCTGATGTCAAAGTAAGAAAAGGGTTTCTCTCAATTGAAAATTGCGTAAGTTAAACCCTAGAAATAGACATTAATGGAATCGGGCCCTCCCCACTGCGTTGCATTCGAATCCACCTTCGTCTGCATTTTAATCATTTTTGTCAATTCTTTTATAAACAGGCAATAACATATTCCAAAAGTACCAAAATATGGTTGCTTTGTCTAACTGTAATTCATACGATGTGATGCTGCTGTATTTATGTGTCGTTCTGCACCCATTTGCACGTGTAAACAAAATTCGGCAAAAGTGGCGTCCCCTCTTCAAACTGTACAGAAGTGTTTGCATAAATGGCAATTAATTACATAGTGTGTGTGTACTCAGTTGGAATAGTACATATGTGGGCTCCAGTTTATTATCCACCGCTTCTGCGATGAATACTCCACCGCCGCTGCGGTGGATCCACCGCTTTTTGCGAAAGCTATGGCCTGTGTGCTGTTTAACAGTTATAAAGGCATTTTTTAAGTTCAGTTTATCGACACTGGCGTAAAGTTCAG